CCAAGCAAGAAGTTGTGCTTCAAATTTTAATCTGAAATAAAGCAACAGTTTTAAAAGATTTGGTCTTCATGATTTCGGATCTTCATTTGTTTACTCAATTTCGGACGCTACTTGCTCTTCAAATGAAACTAGCTTATAATGTTAAATTGTAAAAATTACAAGCTGATCATTTTTTTATGGATCAAACAAATGAGAAATGCAAACAAAGTTTACTTAAGTCGGAGCTTTTCCAACCAACTTCAAAGAAAAAACTTATGTACCCACAACTTCTCAAAAAAAAAGAACAATATTTAATAAAAATAGTGAACCTCATGTGATTCTGCAAAATTTGAAAAAAAAACAAAACCGGAAATCTTATTTTTTAACTTACGACTTTTCATCGTAAATGTTGACTTTGTGAAGATTTTTTCTCCTGAAAAAAACCATGATAAGAAAATAATGTCGGAGGACAAAGAACTTTAAAAGAAATTTTACTGAAAAGTAAGTTGTCTTCACTTTCATTTTCGAAATCTTTTTTCTTCTTTTTTTTGGGGGGGAGGGGGAGAGGAGAGGGAGAGAGAGAAATATTTTGAGGCCCAACAAGAATTCAGAAACAGAAAAAAAATGAGAACTGGTTACCATTTTTATTCCCCATAATCATGGAAGTAACTTAACCATGCATATTTCTTAACTAACGACATATAACAATATTTTATAAAGTATGATGTACAATGATGTATTTTCTACACTCTGCAACATTCAAGTCATTTGTCATATTTCTGCTTTGTGAGTTTAACTCACTGTATTTCATCCTTTCGAATCATGCTGAACAATTTCCGGATGATAAGAACTTGAGCTATCGATTCAAATTTCGACAAAAACATTTTGAAAGTATCCATGCATACCACCCTCACTTCACACAATGTGCATTCCTCACAGCACATTAAAAAATCGGCAAGAAATTCCTGCAGTTGAAAATGGCTGAACAAATCGAATTCGAAAGGATATTAGTCCATTCCTTTTCTCAACGATGCGTTTATGTCTCTTAATACTATGGATGAAATGCATCGGTACTCTTCACAATTTTCAAAGTATACACATAGTAATCAAAATTCACTTCCCACTGAAACTTGTTAAGTCCCGTATAAAAACAAGCTTGTAAAAAATTTCTTGAACCATACTAAGAAAAACGTCCACTGATTTCGTCCTATTGACTCATTCTCGACAGAAAGCAAACAATTTCGCAGTACTAGCACTACGTAACCAATGTTGAACATATTTGAAGTTGAAATATGCAGCGAATAACGGAGTGGACCAAGAGCAAGTTTAAGATAATATTCAGGTGCAAATACTTGTGGAAGTGAATAAAACCTTGACCTAAAAACCAACTACACTAGGTTTATCAAGGCACAAATTGTATCACAAATTGATAAGCTTCATCTTTTTTATTTTATTATCCTAACAATCCCCAACCATCACTGTGACAGAGAAAAGAAGTGTACACTTAAAATTAATTATCAGAAAGTACAGAAACTTGGATTTTTAAAGTTTCAAAGCCAAATTCGATGAAGAAATACAACAAAAATTCGAAAGGATTACTATGACTGGTCATTTTGCTTTGAGTATCAAAAATTTTACAAAGTACTTACTTCAAAGAATTAACAAAAATAAGTGTATTAAGTGGTAATCGTTGGTCAGAAAATTTGTAAATTTCATCCAATTTCATAATAAATGCTTCCATATAATCACTTTGGATGTATGTGCATGCCAACACTTTATCGAACAGTTCATTCAATAATTTGTAGTTTTTGCTCATCGACAAACTAAAAAATAAGCAATGTAAATAAGGATTTTCAAGCATAAAATGAACAATTATCCTGCTAACGAATAAAGACCAAAATAGGTCTTTATTTGCCTAGGATATTAACTGGCAAACAGTTTGTTAAATAATAACTACTTAAGTTGTTTATAGTTTAAAATCCATGAGTCCTGCAAAAAAAAGTCTAGAACTTACGTGAAAATTCGTAAAAACATAAAAACCGCTGCTAAAAAAGATCAGAAGATGCATCTGGCAATGCCGGATTGTAGTTCTCATCCAAATAATCGGCTTCTAGATTCGAAAAATATTCCCTGTTTAATTGCTCGTCTGAATGATTTAACACGACATTTTTCTCGAAACGTTCAATCCATGACGGAAGATAAATTCCCCTGATGTCGCGGATGAAACTAAACTTGAAAAAAACTTGAGTTTATGAAACGTGAGTGAGATCACCATAAGCTTTATAACCCGGCGCAGTTTTTGTTGATTTTCAAATAATTACATAGTTTATTAGCGGCCATTCAGCATAATTTATTTACGAAACAATGATTCTATATAGCTTATGCAATTAGATGGAATAGTATAAGGTGAATGAAATAATAACTTTCTTAAATCAAAGGACAAGTAAAAACTGAAACAGAGTGCTGCTCGAATAAATAAAGCTAAGGGAGTGTAAAGTATACAGCTATATAAGACTTGAATAAAAAAGGATAATGTCATGCAAACACATGAAATCAATGAACATAAAAATACTTTGGATGAGAAAATACCGCCAACTAATCAACAGTATTTCAGAGAAAGACTTACTGCTCGCTGAAATCCTTCATCTCTGGCATCATTTCTTCCAAAAAGCTTCCAAGCAGCATAAATGCTTTCCATGAATTGACCAAATCCGAGCACTCAAGTAGGACAGCCAGTCTAAAATTTTCGGCTGTATACAGCTAATATAAAAAAATATAAAATAAGCATTACAAAACAACTGTCTCGGAACCGCTTATAATGGGCTTGGAAATCAATTTACATCTGAAAGATATCCCATTTCCTATGCCATATGCATAATACAAACATGTTGAGTGACCGAGAACATAAACTACTATGAGATCCCTCTACCCAACAGCTATATGTGCCAAAACTAATTCTAAACTTACTTGTCTTTGGTAGTTCCATATGATTTCAATAATATCAAAACGTTTTCCAAAATAGGATCGGAAATACCACTTTCGGTGAAATCCTTGTCGTATTCCTCGATGACTGCTCGAAACAGTTCTCGATATATATCCGCAAAATTATCGGCTGCAGCAATCAGCAGGTCATGCACTTCATCGTATTTCTTGCGTGACAACTGACGAAGAACCTCTTCAAGAAGTTCGTTGTTTGTTCGGTTATCTTCATCTCCTATTTCCTCGCTGTAAGGAAATTACAGTCATGGCCAACTTCTGCTGATTTACCAGTTTGATGGCTTATTTCTAACAACGACTTCCTAATTAATCAACTATCAGATATGTCCTTTAAAGTTTCAAAAGATGAAACCACCAGAGTAGGGACTAGAACACCAAAGCGAATATAACTTTTAAACCGATGTTTAGATCATTTTCTTATTCGCTATGAATAAATATGAATTTAAATAGTAATTTTATTCCATACATGTTTTGGTTATGTCCACTAGTAAAATTCTGGATCATTTATAAATTTCACATTAATCAAGAAATTAACGCAAAACGATTCCATAGACGAAATGTTATGCTTTTCCGAAAAATATGTAAAACGTATGTAAAGCAAGCGTATGTAAACTGAGTGGGCTAGAATTCATTTCGAGTATTAATAGAGAGAAATGACCAAATCTATACTAACATCGGCTCGTCGTCGTCAGAAGATGAATAAATTGTTTGATCGTCTGGTATAATCAAATACATAAGTAGACTTTTTAGTCCCAGCAATGCCATCAAACTTCAGCAACCTAGCTAGCTACAATCAGCTCTTATGAATGAATTCGTTTCTAGAAAGGCGGGAGGATGACATATCGTCCGAATATGCCATGATCCACAAATCATAAAAAGTCGGGGAAAGAAATTAGCTGGCTGGTAAGGGAATATGTTGGGAAATTTACTTCTCTAATAGAATTGAACGAGATAAAATCATTTAGCCAAAATGAAAAGAATTACATTTAACTCTATGCCTCAGTGATGTTTGTAAGAACGACTTTTATACAAACGCAGTTAAAGAATAATGCATAATGAAAGCAACTCAATGGATTTATTAGGAAATTTTCACTTCTTAAATATCAGAAGGTATTTGAAGACTTGAAATAATTTATGTATTTGATGGAATGATGATAATGCCATAAAACGTTACGCATATATGTGTATTCATAAATGAAATGTGATTTCACTTTATTACCTTATTATAATGATTATAAAAATTTATATAAATCAAAAACCAACAACATTTCCTTCTTTGTATGAAGATCTGTGTGGTTAGAAAAATGATTATTTGGAAACAGGTATTTTTGCGAACCCTGTTTCACTTAAAATAAAAACAATTTGGAGAATTTACAAAAAATCTCTATTTTGATGAAATCAAATACATAACGAAGACAAACTACCTTCTTTCCAACTTCTCATCAGCAAGAACCATTGATGCGCTCGCATTAATTATTCCTGATGCCAAACTACCATGTATAGTTTCCATCCACCTGATGGGCAACCTTGGTCGACTAAAATTAGAGCTGCTTACAGATGGCGGGCATGATAACATCTAGATGGACCTTGATCTTTACTAACACATGCTTACAAAACATCTCTAAGAATTCTCCAACAAACCCTAGTAAACATTTTTTCCAAACATTTTCTAAAATACCCAGCTCATACCTTTCAAATAAGCAATCCTACGCTATATTATTGCGTGTATATTATTGTTATATTATTGCTTATACGCTATATTATTACGTATATTACCGTGTATACAAAATCTATTACAACCGTAAGTGACAAAATACACTAACGAAAAAACAAATGGATTTACTTCAGTATGCTTCAATGAGGTTGTTTGGTTTCAACTAATCGCATATCTCATTACCGATCTATCCATCCGAAAACGGCATGGAAGTAAAATCGGATATAACAGACAATAGAAATCATGATGAACCAGGAGTTCAAAGATCTGGATGAAAAGACCAGACATAGAAAAGAAGATAGAGGACTTACTCAAATCAATATTTGAAATGGAAGAGTAGATAACTTTTATACATGGGTTTTGAAACTCTAACTTTCCATTAGAACTCAAACTCATTCTCCCAACTTTTCCCCACACAATAAAAACACTCATTATAAATTGGAAAGCTCTTGGTCTAATCAGTAATAATAACTACTTAATATATACCGGCAATTAATCGAATTTATGATACTAAAAATGAAAGCTGAAAGCATATTCAAATCGATAATTTTCTTATAAAAACCAAACAGAAAATAATTCCCCAATACCAAGTCTTCATGTCAACAAAAATAAAGAAGCTTCTGGAAAGAAGAACATGAAATCCCATGTCAATCACACGGAAAAGGTTATTTATAAAAGAAAAATACAAAGTATTCATAGGAAAAAAAATCACAGGATTTAATATCATGCATAAAAATATCATTAAAAAAAACATGTGGAATGGGCTTGAAAAGTAAGAAGCATTTTGAAGCAAAGTTTATCATCAGTAAAACTCCCTTCTTTCAAACCTCAAATTTCCCAGACTTCAGCTGAAGTAGAATTTCATCAACTTAATGAATGAAATATCAACGGCATTCTAACTGTAATGTTCCACTATTACGAGAAATTTCTAATTTTATTTCAATTAATCTTGCATGACAGAATAAGCAAAAATAATAGATGCTGCAAATGCCAATTAGGAAGGTTGAAGGAAGAGCTCCAATTATTGAAATAACAGGTAATGTTGATGAAAAGAAGTAATTTCGGGATTTCCGTAACTTCCTACACATTAAAATGCTGAACATTACTTCCTCTCATACCGTTAAAGCTCTAGTCGGAATAAGTAAAACGATGACAATCAAATTCATAATGAAAAACAAAATGAAAGAGCAAAACAGAAAAAATAATTAGATTGGTCCAAAAGAAAAGGAACACTGTTAACGGTATAAATACGGATGGCAATAACGTGTCGCCAAATATTTAGAATGATCTGAGATCTGATAAATGCGCGACTTTCTATTTACATTCGACATTAAATCCAAAGATAACTAACTAAATGCAACTTTTCCCATAATCCATCAAACGTTAATGATGAAAAAAACACATAAATTTTAACCCAATCAATTAATAAATGAAAATCAAAATTCTGGACAAGTGAGAGCGAGTTTGCATATATCACCTTAAAATTTCTTGTTTTTGAACGTAAATCCTAAAAAAAATAACTTTTACAGAATTTTGACAAAAAATGGAAACTATTTCTTTGTCGTTTAATTAACGCATCGTTCCACCATTAGAATGACAATTTCCCTAATCTACAGAAGATTCCAGATTAGGTCCGAAAAAGATTGGATGATCGAAATTTCTAGCATCTAAACTTGGAATGGATTTTTTTTTTTAGATCCAAACCAAACTCCAATGTATTCAGAAAAGTAAATTAAAAGCTTTTCTAAATCAGAATTCTCATAAAATAAAATTTTCAAGTCCAGCAGCTTTTGAAATACCCTTTTCAAGAACTTAAGATTGCGGAACCAATGCCGGAATCCAATTCTACTTCCTCCGATAGCGTTACTTTCTTTGCTACCTGCGTTCGCCTATAATGATCTTCTGTTTCTTTGAAAATCAGCTGCTTCAATGTTTCTTTTGGTAAATCATCATACTCGATCTCGTAAGTAAACGGTTCTTCGCATATAGGCTGAAAAATATTTCATCTAGTTTTTGGACGGAATGCAACTTATGTTCACTCTAACTTTTAAAATCTTATATATGTAATGTTCAGTACTTAAAGTTTTTAAAATAAAGCCACGTATCATCAAATTGGTAAGTGCCCCATTACATTTCACTGCATTGACTTTCCGTAAAAATGAAACATAGAGAGCATGAAATCTTATGGTAAAATAAATGAAGAAATTATACTCAACAAAGATGCTACGAAATACAATACTTCGTCGTTCGGATCATAATATTGTTCCAGATATGGATGTGCAAGGGCATCTTCGATACTTATTCGTTTGTTCGGATTAAAAGTTAGCATTTTATCCAATAAATCAAGTGCACGCGGATCTGCATTTGGATACATTCGTAACCATGGTTGCTTTATCTTGTGAGGCAATGAAAGCAAATATGACCGAGCCTGAATTCAAGCACAAGCTGAAAACTTCAGTGAAAATAATAAATTTCCAAACAAATTTACAGTCCTTTAGTTCTCACTATAATAATGATATATTTACAGTCCTCAATTATAACTATGATATGTTATTATAACTACAAAATAACACTAATAACAGTGTAGGAACAATGACAATAGTAACAACAGCGGTAGTGATAAAAAAATAATAAAATCAAAACCTTCTCATTGATAATGCATTGTAAATCTTCCTGGCTTGGTGACCCAATAACACCCAGGATTAAGTTCAACTGATCCAGATAATGTTTCCCAGGAAAAAGAGGTCGGTTACTTAACATCTCGGCTAAGATACAACCAATCGACCAAACATCAATTGATTTCGTATAACCCTTCGAATTTAACATAATTTCAGGTGCACGATACCACCTGGTAAAAACAAAAGACCAAGGATGATGACTGTATGTAAAAATATGACTTTGCTAGTATAAGATTTGAAATGAAAGAACAACCAGGGGTTAAATCAAATAAAACACAGTCCGATTAATAAATTTTAAAACTAAATGGAAAACAAGAAATATTTTTGATCACAGCATGGAAGTGAGAGAATTTTGTCGAGTGAAAAATATCTGACCTAGTCGCTACATATTCAGTCAGCACTCCAGTATGGTCATGCCCAGGATCTGTTACTCGAGCAAGGCCAAAATCACAAATCTAAAGCATAAATTTGAAAAAAATTTACAACTTCACCAGTCCACCCATTTTCCAAATTAGTTTGAAATTTTAAAAACAAAATCCAATATTTCTGTTCTAATTATAATTTAGTAGTATTTGCAAAAGTTAACAAAACAACGAAATTAAAAATAATAATCTTTTCACCTAATTTCAAAAATCTAACTTTGAGATCGCAAGTAGTATTGAGAAGCAAATTCGATGGTTTGAGATCACGATGAATAACATTCGCAGAATGAATATATTTCAATCCACGCAATATCTGGTATAAAAAATAACAAATATGATCATTGGAAAGTCGTTGGGTTTTCAGCAACTTGTACAAATCTGTCTCCATCAGACACTGCACTATGTAGCTAAAACTTGGATCAAGTAACATTTCCTACATAACGAGCCATTCCTTTCCTTGTTAAAGTTTCTGTTACATTACCAAATCGAAAAAGAAAGTCAATAAAACCAAGGCAACCAAGTGAGACTGCAAGGGTTGAGAGAATAAATCATAATATTTCAGGAACAAAGTCCTAGATTACCCTTTCATCATAAAATTTCAGAAACAATATTGTAATGAAAGGACTAATGGAAGGAAAATTGTCCCGATTTCTGATGGAAAGAAATCAAATTTCAGTAACATTTACTTGATAAAAAAGAAACTCACATATCTTTCATTTGTTCCACACTTGGTGCTCTGATAATTTCCTGAATGTTGATGATCTGTAATAGAAATGATATAAAGAAGGAAAAGAACTATGATTTTTAGTTTTAGTTATCACATCTTTGATGGTATGTCCAGTCTCATCCTTCACTTAAATCTAATAACAGTGGAACCATTTCAGTATCAGGCCATACACATGCTAAGGAAATTCCTGGAATTATCTCAAGTGAATTATGACTTACAGTTACTACGCTTTTATTCATAAACTGTAGAATTCTCTACTACGTTTTAAAAAGACACAAGATCTTTCGGTTAGATTTGCAGAAGTATTTACCTGATTACATAATTGTCAAGCATAAAGTAAAAGGTCGAAGATCTCTGCATTTCATCAACACCTATTAATTACGTCAGTTACTTACATTTTCATGTTTAAATTTAGTCAAAATTTTGATTTCTCGAAGTGTCCTTTGGCAGAACGTTTGATGCTCGAATGGTGAAATTTTTTTGATAGCGACACGTTCATGCGTCTCTGTGTCCAGTGCAGATCTAAACAATCTTTAATGAATTAATCTCCAAACAAACCTGTCAACAATCATTTTTTTTCCTTTTTTTGATTACTTTGTGACTACACAAAGGGACAAAAAATTTATGACTATACAAAGGGACAAAAAATTTTCCGAATATTTTCTTCACTATGAAATATTTTTTCAAATGTATTTATCAAGATTTCTCATATGAAAGGGTACGCATATGTGTAAGCATTTCCTTGTTATCAGGGGTGAATCAAATAAATAACGGTTCAAGTCTTTAATAATTCAGACCCTTACCACTTTCAAAAGAAAAAACAGTTCAAGACATAAAATCACAAGCCAGTAATATCAACCAGTAGTGAAAACATACACCACCATTCCGTAGGCTCCTTCCCCAATATAGCAAAGATTCATATAACGTGGTCCAACTTCGAAAACTTGCCCATGCACTTCCTCAACACCA